AGATATTATTAAAGTCAGCTATAAAAACTCAAAGATGCTAATTTGAAAACATTTGATAAAGATAAATTTTTCATGTGCCAGGTGCTGGGGCAACTGGGTGATATGTTTTTAATCCCTGTAATATGGAAATACAGGGAACCAAGAAATAAAATCGATTAAGTAACTTGTTCAGGTTGATCACTACTAAATAATTTGACTTCTCCTGCAAGGACTGAACCAAAAGGTTGGTTTGAGCTGCAAGGTTGGTTGTTAAAACTCACTAGCTGCTCCTTGGAAACCCTATACAGGGTCTCTATGAGTCAGAACCAACTTGACAGCACTTAACATCCCCATTAAGGAGCTATGGTGTTGCAGTGGTTATATATTCAGCTGCTAAAGAAAAGATCGGTGATTTTAATGCATCAACCACGATTCTGGAGAATATGTAGCAGTCTGCTTCTATAAAGATTACATCATGGTTAGAAACTAATTGCTTAACCACTGTACCACCAACTCTTAGGGACTCCCTCTCAGGAGTTCTGCTCTGTCCTGTAGAGTTACTCTGAATTGTAATCAATTAAGTGATAGTAATACTTCCCTTCAGTGCCTAATAGAGTTTAGATACATTAGAATGCATCTACTTCTCACTCATTGACTAGCTCAGACAATACTAAAAAATCTGACTAGCTCACATAGTAACTACATACATCTGGCTATAAGAACACCAAAGTGCTAGGTAAGAGTAACATTGCTGTAATGATTATGGGTATGTGTCAACTTGGCTGGACCATGATTCTCAGTGGTCTGGAAGTTATATAATGATGTAAGCATCCTCCATTTTGTTATATGATGTGTTCATACTCTATTTTTGCACAATACTGATTTTCACATAATGGGCTGTCTTTAGACCCTAACTATATCAATAAGGAAGAATCATTGTAGTAGAGTATAAAATAATCCAGTCTTTTCACTGAGCAGAAATAAAATTAAAACAAATAACTCCTTATGTACACTAATTTTTGTGTTGTTATTTAGAGCCGATTGTTAATTCAGTTGAAAAAGAAACTGTTCACAGGGTTACAAAGGTATATATGTGAACCTTTCCAAGCTGAGATTACAGCCTTAGGCATATAGAAGTAAAAACATTAAGATTAATTCTAAAGGAGCAAGTTGTTGTTACATGCTGTCAAGTTGGTTTCAACTCATAGTGACCCTATACACAACAGAATAAAATGCTGCCAAACCCTGTGCCATCCTCACAATCATTGCTATGAGCCCTTTGTTGTACCCACTCTGTTGAGGGTCTTCCTCTTTTTTGTAATGTCCTTCTCCATGACTGGTCCCTCCTTATAACATATCCAAAGTATGTGATACAAAGTCTCACCTTCTAAGGAGCATTCTGACTGAACTTTTTCCAAGAAAAATTTGTTGTTTTTCTAGCAGTCTAAGTTATACTCATATTCTTTGCCAACACCATAATTTAAATGCATCAGTCTTCTTATTCATTGTCTGGCTTTCTCATGCATTTGAGGTGTTTGAAAATACCATGGCACAGTGTCGTCCTTAAAATGATGACATTTTGCTTTTTAACACTTAACAGAGATCTTTTGGAGATTGGACCAGTGCAGTACACCTTGTTTGATTTCTTGACTTCTGCTTCCATCATCATTGATTGTGGCTCTAAATAAAAAGAAATGCTTAACAGCTTCAGGTTTTCTCTATTTACCAGCAGAGCAAATGCCCAGACGTTATGAAGAAAAAAATTATACAGTAGTCTTTAACTTACACCTACCCTTAAAAGAGAATTTCTTTGTGTGTTTATACCAATATGTGAATGCCCAGCTTTAATTTGTTTGCTATCTCATGGTTTATTGAATTTTAATGGGCAAATCCTTGAATCATAGAAATACGTGCATGGCAGCTATATTACCCTAACATTGGAAACCCAATACTACTGGTAGGCTATCAATCATAAAGATCATTTTAATAACTTTTTAATGATGTGGGGAGATGTTTAGTCAAACAAGTATGATTCAAAAGTAATATAATCTCATTGTTATTATTTAAACTGAGTTAAAATATAGACATATGCTTGGAAAGGAAACAAAATAAGCTTTATAAAAATAAATTCTTTTGACCTGGAACCCAGAACAGTTTGTCTGTTCAATTTCAGTTAAAATATTAAAATACCTAATGTAATTAGCATAGGAAATGAAGCCTTTTTATTTTAAATTCAATTGCTTGGAATATGTTTTCACTAATATAAAAGCATCTGTATAATAGGTAAAAAATAGATTGAGTATTACATTATGAAAATTTACAGATTTCTGGCAAGATGGCAG